ACCGGTGCTGCGGATACTCAGGCTGGACAGGTTGTGCACAGGAACAGTAATCCTGAAAGAGTTGCAGAAGAAACAGGATCAATGCAAGATGAACATTGTGGAGGCCTAATCAATACACATCTTCCACACATCAGTTCTGCACAAGAGAATAATTCAGTTACAGAACTGAGTTCATTTGCTTTTAACCTCCTGTTGCCTGAATGTGCCTCAAGGCTATGTTCGTATTAAGTTTCTCATGAGCAAGCTGTTACAGCAGGAAATCTTACAGACTATAAAATGAGATCCTGCAGCTCTTTAAGTAACAATCCTATACTATTCGTTTTCATTGCACTTCTCCCCCCGTGCTCTCACCGGCTCTCCTCGCCCTCCAGCAGCTTCCTGTAGGTGGCGATCTCGATGTCCAGCGCCATCTTGACGTTGAGCAGGTCCTGGTACTCTCGCAGGTGGCGCGACATCTCGTCCTTCAGGTGGCGGATCTCCTCCTCCAGCCGGCCGATGTTGTCCTGGTAGCCGGCGGCCTCCACCGAAAACTGGTCCTCCATCTCCCTCATCTGCCGGAGCAGGGCCTCGTTCTGCAGGGGACGCAGAGCACAGGACGGGGGGGGGCGGAGGTGAGCCGGGGGCTGGTGAAGCTTGTTCAAGCAACGGTGTCCAGCAGAGACTGCTGGTCCACGTGCAGACAGGAGCTCAGGGAGCGGATTCCTGCGGGCGGGGCACACGGCGGGCACTGTCCTGGCGCGTGGTGACCCCTGTGGGCTTGCACGCCGCTCCTCCTGGGCGCTGGAGACATCGGCAGGCCAGCTCTGGCGTGCGCTACAATGGGGCCGAAACACAGCTTGTTCGGTGTGTCACGTCCACCAGCAACCACATCCTGTCCCGCAAGCGACCTCTCGCTCATCAGGCCACAGCTACAGGTAATTCCAGCCAGCGCTGATCAATTATCTAACCACCACACCACACTATTGACTGCACCCTGTACTTCCCAGGATATTTAAGCCCTCACTACCCTCAGGTCTGCGCTCGGCTTTGTCTAGGAGCTCCTACCACGCCGTTCAAAGCTTGACCTTCGCCCCTCGACTTCAACTTCGGCCCAGCGTCTAGGACAAGTAGCTTTCGATCTCCTCTCCCTTCTGCTCTTTTCCCCTATTCTCCGAAACTTTCAGAACAACGCACAGGGTTCTTCCTCTCTCGTTGGCATATCACTGGTAACGCAGTGCTCCTACATGTTTGAGTAGTACAAGTTTTTAGAGACAAAAGGCAATAAGTTACTAAACAGCCTTTATAGTGGGGTTGACCGTCATTTGTTAAGTGCTGTTATGTACAGCATTTCATAAAGATCTAACACGTGGCTTATACACTCCTAAGATAAAGCACTCCCCACAGCTGTTTGAGTAGAGCAAGCAACTACACACTAGTTTCCTCCTGTTGTGTTCTCTGAATAGTGGGGAAAATTAGGACCAGAATGATGAATTATGCAGACGCATTACATTTTAATGACCGGGCGCCACCCAAAGTCTAAACCAGAGCACAGGGTGGTAGGATTCAAGTCAGTCCATCAATGTTATTTTAACAACACAGGTTAGAGCATGGAGCTGAATCACGCTGTGGGCTGCAAGCGAACAAGCACAGTTTAGAACATGCTGAGGGGTCAAGAGCATGATGGAAAGACGTGGAGCTGAATGGTACGTGCTGGGGGAGAGGCCGTCAATCCACGCAGCTCAGGTGGACACCTACTGTGCTCTTCAGCCCGTCGATCTCGCAGGTCAGCGCCTGGATCTGCCTGCGGGACTCGTTCGCATCCTGCTTGGCCTGGCGCAGGGCTTCTCCGTTGCGGTTGGCCGTGTCCGTCAGGTCGGCGAACTGTGGGCAGACAGAGGCATCAGCTGGAGCAAACGCCCCGCAATGGGACCCAGCCTTCCTGTCGGTCCCCCTGTGTATCCGCCTCGGTCCCCTTCCCAACCTGTTGCAATCTGTCTCCCTGCAGCTGTTCACTTGTCTGCATGTGCTGTCATGTCAGTCCGTCTCTGTGTCCCACTGTCCCTTTCCATCTGTGTCCCCGGGTCACTGCCTGTCTCCTCAGTTCCTGGGGTCTGCTCCTTGTTCTCCCACTGATTGGCTGTGTGTCTTTCTCCCATTTGTCTCTGTGTGTGTCCGGTGTGTGTTTCCCGTGTCTATAGGATCTGGTAGATTGGTGTGTGTGTGCTCTCCTCTCACCTTGGACTTGTACCACTCCTCGGACTCCTGCATGTTCTTGGCAGCGATGCTCTCATACTGAACCCGGATGTCCCGCAGGGCAGCAGTGAGGTCTGGACGGGGGGCGTCCACTTCCACCTGCAGCTGCTGGGTCTGCACGCTCACCTGGACATCACGGATCTCCTGCAGGACACAGAGCGGTTATTGTGCATCCCTCCCTGCCCCCTGCAGACCCTTTCGGATCCAGGATCCTTTTCATGCCAGATAACAGACAGCCACCAAACACTGTGACCTTTTTGAGCAAGGGTTTGTCAAAAGACTTTAAAATAAATGTACGTGTGTGCATGAGCATGCACATGTGTGTGCACGTGTGCATGTACATGTGCACGTGTGTGTGTATGTGTGTGGGCGTGAGTGCACATGTACTTGTATACATGTGTTCATGTGTGAGTGTGTGCTCTTGTTCATGACATATTCCATATTAATTCACAAGTTCATGGATTGGGAATGAACTGACATTTTTACTTTAAGGACATAAGACAACCCACTTTAAAGTGTGACCAGTTGTGAACAGGCTCTAACCTCTGAACTACACTCTCTCATTGAGTGTAGTTGACTTACAATACTTGGTCCTGTGAAACACCCTGGGGGGTGGGTGACCTGTGCTCGGGATGGGGGGGTCGGCGCTCACCTCATCATGCAGCTTCTTGAGGAATTCAATCTCATCCATGAGGGACTCGATCTTGCGCTCCAGCTCCAGGCGAGAGAGAGTGGCGTCATCCACATCCTGTAAAACAGGACGGCTGGGTCACTTTTCGTCACTGATTTACTCATTCTCCTTAGTGTGTGCAGTTGCCTGCTGTGTTGCCAGTGTGGACTCTGAAGTTTTATTCCAGCAAGGAGCACGAAAAGTTCCAGATGAGTTAACTGAGTTCATGTAGGAGGTACAGACACTAATGCGCCGATTATTGAACATTATCTATACCAGACTACTTATTTGCCTTGAAGTGTGTGGGAGTCAGTGCCTAACCCAATGCTGTAAACTTGTAACCACAAGCCAGCAGGCACTGTGTCTGCTCTCACATCTGCGTCAGGGGCTCCTCACCTTGCGGAAGATAACCAGGTTGTTCTCAGCCTCTGCCCTCTTCTGTGCTTCCTCATCAAGCCTGGAAGAAGGGAAAACAGACACATTAGATGAACACAGATGAAAGGGGGCCCCATTCAGCCCCTCTAGCCCAGGCAGAACCTAGTGGTTAATCGATCTGAGGATCTCAATCAGCTGTTTCCTGAAGGAGTCAGAGCATCATCTTCTAGGCAACTTGTTCCAGACCTCCACAGCCCTTAACGCGCATTACAATCCACGTCATCAGGCAGTCTGATTATGCATTTGCTCTCGTCCTGTAAGTAATCTTCCCCCAAAATCTGAAATCACAACTCAAGACCCTCAGCATGACCCACTGTGGGACAAGATTTCTTCAAGGACAGTCCTCCAGTTTGTACTTGGCTGAGAGTCCTCAAACCAAATCTGCATTTCTGCAACCTGCCACTTGATGTCATTATTCCAATGAAAAGTGCCATAACTACAGTGAACTGACCAGTCGCACTTTTCCCTCTGTCAGAGCCACAATCTTACAGTGCTATACTGCTTCACTTAAACAGAGGCACACAACAACATCTGCCACAGCAGACCTTTGAAAAGTGCTGAACTGATCCAGTTAAGCGAATTAACTCGATCATAGCCAGCAGAACAGGCTGACCAGTTTTGCCAGTTTTGCCAGGAACTAGATAAATTGCATAACCCAGGGCTCAGAAAGCAGTAGTTTCCTAGTTTAAGCCCCATCTCTGCTAAAGACTCACTGTGATGAATCTGAGCCCAAACAGCCAACCCCCCTCTGTGTGACCTAAAAGAGATCTTCTGCAGGCCACACTGCAAGAACAGCAGCTATTTTGTTAATGCATAAAGATTAAGTCCTCATATTTCATCAGAAAAAAGCAGATTTTCTCAATCAGACAAGCAGACAATCCTCAGTGCTGGAGACTGCCATTTGCATCAAGATTCACTGTTTATTCCGAAGCCAAGAGTCAGGCTGTAACTAGGAGAGTGATTAGTATTATTACAAACACATGGCTTGATCAGGACTCTCACAGAAGATGTGCAGGGATGTGACCTTAGAGAGGCCACAGGCAGAAGCCAGGGCAGTGACCTCCCCCACTCTGGCCAGGATTAGAGTGACCCCGTCCCCCGGTACCCCAGGCTAATGACAATAGCTGTTCCTCGGGAGACAGAGAATGCAAACAAAGGCTGGTCGCTCACATCTGGGCCTTGAAAAGGGGGCTGTCTGAAAATGTGTGGGCTGAGTACACTTCTCTTCCTCCCAGAGAACTCAACACAAAGTCCCCTACCTCTCCCAGCCCCTTACGTCTCTCACAACACACCGCATATCCGCCACAATTCCAGCACACCCCAACCTCCTGCCATCACCCCACAGGCACCCTGAACAACGTGATGGTGCTTTTCCACCTCTGTCTGCAGTGATGGTCACACTGCCACTGTGGAACCCCACTCTTACTGTCATGTGATCTGTAATCTGTGCGCTTGTGACAGGAGCTCTTGCAGCCTGTAGTGTGGTCTCCCATGAGTCACTGCACACAGGCCATGTCGTATCTGCTACATTTATGACACTGGCACTTTGGCTCACTTGTGGCACTCCTTCTCCAAGGCTGAGGACACCCACCTGCCTTCAGTTAGAGATGTGCAGCTTCACAGCTGCAGCAAAACAGGTCAAATGGAGAGAAAGCAGTGTCCAAACCTCAAATGGGAGGAAGTATGAACCCCTACAGGGTATGGAGGACTGGAGATTTGTGTCCCAGAGCCCTGCAGTGCCTGTGTTCTGACGTTCCCCCTGGGGGGGGCGGAGGACTGCAGCAGTGTTGCCCGGCTGCAGCCCAGCAACAGCAGCCAGGAAGGCAGGACGAGGCTCATTTTTAATTCATGGCCCAGCTGGGGGGGGGCGGCTCCTTAATGGCATTCCTGGCAGCCAAAGGCCAGGGAACAGGACACCATAATGGAGCTCCTGATGGCACGGTGTTCACAAGTGTGTCCACGAGTGTGTGTGTTCATAAATGTGTGTGTGTCCACGAGTGTGTGTGTTCATGAGTGTGTGTGTTTTGAGAATGTGTGTGTGTCCACGAGTGTGTGACCACAAGTGTGTGTTCATGAGTGTGTGTGTCCACAAGTGTGTGTTCATGAGTGTGTTATCTTGAGTGTGTGTCCATG